TCTATACAGACTTCTTTTTCCTCGAACGCCCGCATAATCGTTCGCGAGAAAGGTGTATCGAATGCACGACTTTTAACGATGAAAAATCGAAATGAAAAGAAGGCGACGATTTAATCCCGTCTCTCGTTAAGTCACCACCGCGATGTTGTATTTATCGAATACGACATTCGCCAAGAGAGGACATTTCTATTCTTTCTTTTTGCATGCGAGCGAACCGAATTTCAATGTGGCTCCTCTCGCGTTTCACCCGACCAGTTTCTCTGCTTGAGGAGATATATTTCTTCGCCATAAAAAGAATCGAATCTAGTGGCATTTTCGTATCATGGCCGCGCACTTATTTATCGCAGATTTCGAAATTTCCAGAAATCTCGGTCAGGGAGACATTTTTATTCGCCCTTTTTTCTTGGGCCGAAAATGGAGATACTGTTTAGAACTTTTCGGATAATATCACGGTTGTCGACCGAAAATTACAACCGTAAAAAGCGCGCGCGTTTCGTCGAGCGTGAAATAACTTGGCGGTTCGCGCGACTATTAGTCGCTATCACGGTACTTATGCAACCGTCCTGCATTCGGAACGCCGGTATTTGCATGTTTCCGGGTACACCTGAATCGCACAAATTCGCGGGGACATATAGTTTTCATAAGCTTGAACAAAGACACCAGCCTGCCTTTTTACATCCCTTCTCCTCGATCGTTTGCCACGCGCGGTAGTCACTATTTCGCCGGGCAATATTAAACGATCGTTCGCTAAATAAATCGCTTGTCCACGTGGCATCTATTATATAATTATCTCACTATCTGTATTTTTTGCTCTGAAACAAGCGCGGCAACTGACATTTGTGTCTGGCATTCGAGAGTCGAGATAGTGCGTCGATCGGCACTAAATGTATGCAGGACGGCAGCGTTAATCGGATTAGCCGAGCTTTCTGGATAACGCGACGAATTGAGATTTCTCTTCTTTTTTTTTACGAGCGGATCCTCCGAGATATCATCTTTAATTATTCGAAAGTTATCGACGTGCAAATTTTTATGTCGCAATCAACCTCGATGGATCAAATAGTCCGTCCGCCGCTGACAAAAATGAGACGCAAAATATCAGGATACGTAAGAGAGAGAGAGAGAGCACTTTCAATCTTTATGGATCGACTTCTCTCTCTCTTTTTCGTACACACGGGCTCCGGTTCAGAGACCTTTGCTCTAGTTTACCTTTCCCTCCCCCCCCCCTCCATCTTCTTCTCAAGATAAAGTGTAAATCTTCTAGTCCATATTTCTTTTCTCACTCTTCCTCTTTTGCACTAATTACGTAAGCTCACCTTAAGCGTTGACTTTCTTATTATTTCTCATACGGTAGCCTTCTTTCAAGACACAGCAATATTTTGAACGAACTTTCACAAATTATTCATCGAAATTTTCTGCTGAGCTTCGCACGATGTTCGCGAACAAACAAGAGCGGAAATATTTGCCCCACTTTCCTCCCCTCATCGAGGACCTTTTCGCAACTTTTTCGACGGTGTATCGCGTACCATATTTACGAGTTTGGAATACGCGCGTTATATTAACGACGCGCCGACGATAAGTTTCGTTGTAATTAATCGAGTTACGAAACGCAAGCATCTCGATATTTGTTCGTCGGCTCTCCGAGATTCTAATTTGTAATCTTTGCGTCTTATAAATAAGTGATATCTTTTCGATATGACCGGCGTAAACACGACGATGCCGCAAATACCTGACGGACCTTCCAAGGGAAGAGAAAATTTCATTCCTTTAAGAGGAGTCCACGGAAGAGATCAATTTAATAGATACGGGTATTGAAATATTTTTGGAATGTCTTTCAAACTGTCTCGTTGTCCTTGCGATTCTCCCTCCCCTTCACTTCTTTATATTCTTCTTTTTCTTCTTCATATTTTCCGAAATGTAAAAGGTGCTTTCTCGCGGCCGAAAGAACGTTTACATTTAGTAGGGGCGAATTGCACAGAAAATTACGGGAACGAGGTTGGCGGATATCGAATAATCGCCAGTGGTCGAACCAGTCGGTCGACGTTGTCGATACGACGATGTCGCAATTGCTCGACCGTAAACTGGACCCACTGTGGGCCACAGTGGTCAACCGTGAATGGCCGACCACGCCCTCGTACACCTTTCACACAGATCTCCTTTATAAAATGCTTCTTTATAAATTATCCGTGAAATCGAACAGAGGGGGAGGGGATTTTTCACAATGTAATGCTCGGCAAAATTTGTGTGAGTGACGCATCCGCAAACAAATGCGTTGGATCGAGTGACCGTTTCTACTTGAGTGAATGGTTGCGTAAGAAAAATTTGAACGTCCGTTATTTGCGTACTTTACTCTGGTCGCTGTATTCCTTCGCACGATAATAACTTTGGTTTGTCCTCGGTATTTTATCAATCGAGTTTGAACATCTTCAGAAATTAAATATTCCAGATTGAACATGTCAACTTTTTTTTTTCAAAAATTTTTCATGCTATCAACCGGCCAAGAGAGCAACATCGATTCTTTTTGAATCGTCCAGTGGCCAGTTATCCTTCAGCTCGGTCGATATTGCAGCGAAGGAGGCAGCGTTCACTCACGCCGGATTCGAAATATCGAATTACTTTGTTTCGAGGCAGTCGGTAAAGGCGGTGTTTATTACGGATAACTTGACGGTATCATCGAGGGGTTCGTGCGTATCGCATGAATTTGTGAATCTCATACAGAGAGCAGTTGATTTGAACTCGAACATTTCATTATTTTCTTTGATAGTCACACATGCATGTAAAATCAAACGTAGAAAATTTATAGATTCCGAAACGTATGTAAATAGATTTTATTTTTATATATATTCGCCGCATAATTTTCATTTAATTTCAACCGGTTATATTCCAAGTTACGATCAACTTGGTCAAGTTATGCGATTCTCCTGCTGCCAATCCTCATGATTGATCAAGTTGTGTCATTTTCTTGGCTATCGTTTCAACTGCTCGTCGGTCCGCTTTAACTATCCGCGCAAGCAACTTTTTCAAGTGGAATGTAAAAATAATACCGCGTAAGAAATATCAGCCCGCGAGATGCGGTAAGAAATGTTATAACGTTACGCGTCTACCAGCACATCTTCCCCCCCCTCCCTCCCACTGTTCTGAGAGCGCACGAAAAACGAAAAAATAGCAGATCGGAAAGAGCGGCAAGAAACGATTACTCGGCACTTTGGCGCTTCGCCGACGCGCTGCGACGACTACAATGTACTTGCATAGTAGCGTTGAAAAACGGCGCGGCATCGTATTCATCGGGGTTTCCTGGCGAGAGCAAGTACGAGCTATGAAACAGCTTATGAAACGACCATAGCCGTGGCTCTAAATAGGTGCGCGCTGTTAAGCGGAAAACTTTTCTCGCTCACGAACCGCGTTTTTGAGCGTATCGCCGTAACGTTGCAAAATTTTACTGACAAATTTTCAGACAATCAGTGGAACGATTGACCATACAAAAATGGATTGATGATTACTTTCCGTGACGATCGAAAATATATGCTGCTTCGCTAAGTCACTCAGCTTTAAGCCATAAAGTTGGTTAAAGCCCGAAATTACATTTTCATAAAGTTAAATGAATTTCTTGACATATATGTTTTCTAAACTATATTGTTGATCTTTTTGTCGAGAATTCACAAGTCGGTTGAAAGGAACGCATAGAGGCGAGATTTATTTCCCTCGAACGATTCAATCGAGCAATCAGTGCCAACGCGTGCGAGCGAATGATACATTACGTTATAATAAGCGATACATTACGTTGGACAATAATTTGTCAGCTCTTCGTGATGCGCGAATGATCGATGTTGCATGCGCTCGCGTTTAAATGGTAGCGCCAGTTTGTCGGTAAGATTATTAATGACGCGGAATTATTCTCGCCGCGTACAGTGGCCGCTATTCTTAATTTTGTTATTTTGTTATCGCGGACAATTATCACCGAGAAGTGTTAACGATAAAATTCTAATAGGGGATTATACTTCTCACCTCTAAACTTACAAGCATATCTTGACAAATACGCCGTCGAAATCGAAATGTTCCTTGTCAAAGCGAAATACGTGATATCGACCCTACAGACATCCTCTCGTCTCCGGATTCAAGATGTACAGAGTGAGTTGCCGACAAAAAATTCTCTTCTGCTCATCGACGGACACGTCGACGAAATTCTACGAATGTAAATCGTTTGGCGCGCGCCTTTGCTCGCGCGGGAGCGAGTTTCGAGATTTTTTCTTCGACCAGAGAGGGGGGGAGGGTACTGACTTCCCCGGTCATCGATTCCTGCTAAAGTCATCGACACGTGACTGCGACCGGTCCTGCAATCCAGTTCCATCGCGGCCCAATCAGGCGGGGAGTGGAAGACGACACGGAGGAGAAGAAGGAAGAAGCAAGGGGAGGTTGGAGAGAGCTCGATTGCTATTGCCGGATCAAGGACGTCCGCCTACGCCGCTTCCTGTCGTATATATACCGTTATATCTCACTACCGAATTCCGGCTTCTCTTCGCAAACAGATTTGGAAAATCCGATTGGGTTTCCGTCCGTTGGATGGATACGTACATAGCGACGCGGCATTCTTCGGTGATCCTGTCGCGTATGGGCGACGCGCGTGGTGGTCATTGATGGTGCCCCACGTGTGCGTGACTTGGAAGGAGATTTCATTCGCGAGAAGCAGTGCTTCAGTTCGCGAAAATTTCATTTCACACACGCTAAACTCGGTGGAAAGCCTTCCTAACGGTTTGAGTTTCGCACGTTTTCAAATACCGGCTTTTAAATCGGACGCGAGATCCTTTCAACGCAAAAGCCGATCTTGTTTATGTGGATTTTTTCTCGACGTCTAATTCACGACATTATCATTCAAATTCATTTTCCATCAATTACCACGAACATCCAAATGTAATTAGATTCTTCCTGTTCCTTTCTTTCCATATTTTTTACTTTGAGTTCCCGCTGCAAAATTCTTCTGGGATTAAAAAGTATAACGCAAGGACTAAAATATCAGAGCATTTCTCATTGTAAAACGTGTTATTGCGAAATAAAATATATAAAATTTTAGCAAAGGGATACGCGTGGCACAATTGACATTTTTGTTGGTAATCTCTCTGTGCGTGCTCGAATAATCATCGAATCAAATTACGAACGATGACTCCTTGCCTTTGCCCCGCAGTGCTGTAAAGATGCTGATATCGTTCTCCCGGTGGTTTCTCGTCGCCGAAAAAATTCCATATCGAAAACACGTCGTTGCAGTATGTTACTGTAAAAAAAAGATGTTCGTAAAGTAGCGCTTCGTAAGAATGAAGGAAATGAACTGCTGTCTATCACATACCCAGCTGTTTGTGCGTAGTATTGAACTTAAAGAAGGACAGCCGTTCGCTTTTATCCAGTGGTATCGCGTCGACTATTCGTTCGAAATTGGCGAGAATCGGAATGACGGAGTATCGTTTGTCCCCTACCGCGTACGACCAATGTACGACCAACTCGCCACTTAATTTGTTCCAGGCGAGATTTTCCACGCAACCTTGAAACTTGGCAGGCAGATAGTCTATCATTGTGTACGTGTTGATATTCCACAACGACAACGACGAGTCTCTTGATCCGCCTATGCAAAGTAGCCCGGATATTTCCGGATGCCAAGCCACCGCCTGCCAAATATAATGTTTCTCCTTATCGTCCGTGTCAAAAGAAATTCCGTCAAGGACATTTCAACGCAGAAAACCACGAAAATTTCGATTGCACCATCTTACTTCAGTATGATTCAAGTATATCTCACAAAAGAGAGAAAAAGAATGCGAATAATTGTATTTTTTGTAGTAAAAGCGTATAGTGCTGCTGATGATAATTCTACACATGCCTGTTACTATTTCTTTTTATCGGAGCAACAGAAAATACGGTTAACGCTGAAAGCAATTTGCAGCAAGATAATCATTTTTTCTCTCAGCGCAATGAAAAAGGACGATCGAGCGGTTTGACGGCCTACCTTTATAGAATCGGTAAATCCGATATTGTACCAATCTGTTAAATTCGGCCAGGTGTGTATCCGGACGTTCTTGTCTTGCGCGGTTGACACGAGATATTTGAAATTGGACGAGAAATTCAGGGTTATAATGTCAGCCAAGTGTGCGTGTTTCCTCATCAGCAACTCGCCCGTGTTCGATTGGAATACCGATAGCATGCCCGAGCATGCGCTGCCATTAATATTTCTTATTATTCCATTTCATTATTATCATTGATTTGATTATCTAGCTTTGCGAACGCCGACTCGATAAGTCCTCGACAAACAACAACTCGAGGACCGTTCGGGAATGATACCTCAAAGAATACGGAGAGAAGGAACCGCATATGATTGAAATCCCGACAGCTGAAAGGAGTTAATCGATACTTACGTCACAATCAGACTATCGTCGTGAGACCAGCAGATACAACAATTGTTACACGAGGCTACGTAGCTGTTAAAAAAACAGTAACAAGAAACGCTCCATAAGAACTTTTTCTTTCGTGAATCGTAGAGTTTCACCTGCATCGAAGTTCGAAACGTACATGCTATCTTAACACCTAAAATCAAGGTTTGAACGTTCGCACTTCTATTATTATTATCTTATAAAATTGAGTTATACATTTTCTTCTAAATTATATGTTATAAATTAATGATACATATGAATAATGAATTAAAATTGATTGAATAAAAATAACACACACACATACATACATCTCAAATATTGTAATCATTATCTCTCTAGAAATATATTTGCTTTTAGTCGAGGAAAGTAGGGACGAGAAAGTTAGAAATTTTCTGTTAAATCGGTAGGAAGTGTGTGCGTTCGATAAGAAGTAAAAATTCGACTTTTGCCTTGTTTCTCTTTTTACATACGCTTACCATCGTTACTCCACTTAACGGCGGCAGGGCCTTCCCACAAATGAATCGTATCTGATGCCGTGCCGTTGCTATCGTATATCGTCAGGCTGCTTGGATTGCTCACCACGAATACATCCATGCAGCTCCAGTCGATCGGCCGAGCGTCATCACCTTAAATATCCGAAAGAATCTTGCGTGACTTAAGAAACGTCGTTGTTTAACGGAACGACTCAGCCAACGACTGAATTACCAAAGATACGACAAGTAAACTTAATTCGAGACATATTTTTTATATTGATCGTTAACTATCTGTTGGTAAGCAATTTTTCAGGCGCACGTAATTGTACACAACTTCGCGAGAGACGGGGTAATATTATATTATAGGATGACACACCGGAGTATCACGACATTCAACGCGGACCGATCGCAACGTACTTTGATCGGCGGACAAGCTCAGCATTTTTTCCGGGCTTCCTATCAGAGGCTTCTTGCGCGGCGCGCACTTCCACTTTCCCCCCGATCCCGGGCGCCCTTGCGCGGCAAAATAGCTCGATTCTTGACGACGCTCGATAAAAGTCTGCAGGATCCTCTTCTGATTCAGACCTGTAGATTTTTCACGAAATTTTTCATCAAAATCGAATGTAATCTGACGAAGAAGATTTGGCAACTTAATGTTGACAAGTGTAGAGTTTTCTTTGCAAGAGAAAAAGTAACACATGATGACTTTTTCGGCTGAAAAATTCGGGCAAAGACACTATTTCAATAAAAAATAACGAATAATTGCGGAACATCGTATGTACCTTATTTCTGCAAAGTTTTTAGAATCTGATGAAGGAAATGTTTCACTAATTTGATGAAAAATTACCTGACACGCATTCTTGACTGATCATCATTGCACGCATAGCTTCGCGTCGGTACGTAGTATTCAGCAGCTCGACCTGCTTTTTCGAAAAAAGAACAGTTAGCGTCGCATACTGCAGTTGTCGCAGATAAACGCACCTGTTTACAATAGTCTATCTCACTTTTATCCTCCCAATCATCGGATTGCCGCGTTAACAAGTGGTACGCCGCTTGGAAACTGTAACTGTGCCGAAGCGGTATGAATCTGTCCCCGGGATAGGCCTCTCTCGTTACTGGCGGTTTGATCCGGACGGTCTTTCCGTCGTCTGGCAAGTCCCGATACTGCTTGGGACTCTCGTTGACAGTCGTTTGACAGGGGGTTGATGCTATGAACCACTGGCGAGTACTGATCTGAACCAAATTTACCGGAAGCATTGTACGCGTTGATCGTTTCTAGTAGGAAAACTTCGCCCCAATCCGAATATCGGTGGGCTTTCAAGGAGTTTTTCTTGGAGTGAATCCGATTTCAAGTTTCATCAACGAACGGCTTTTTCCGGACCTTTTAACCAATTTTGGGACATTGATCGATTAATTACCGTTTAACCGGTTACGACATCGCGACTAATTGAAAGCTTCATTCCCACGGTGAATCGGCGGACCGAACCGGTCAGCGTACGACGATGCGTGTGATGCGAAAACGCTGCGTGCTTTGCCGCCGCGTTCGTGGGCTGTACCACCTGCGGCAAAACTCTCTCCCGCCGAGGGGATGCGCCTCGAGAGAGAGACAATATATTCGTAAGAGAATAAGAGCGATCGCACAACCGGCGCGTTATTGTTTCTTCTTTTCAATGCGAGAGAGTTTGAAACGGCCGGACACAGTAAATATGTATATACATTGAGAAAAGAGACGCATTTGTGAAATAATTATTCATACTCGGCAAACTTATTTTTATGATAAACGCTGCTTTTTTGTTAAAACAACGAAACTTATAAAAGTGATTACGATTTTTCATCTCAGTATTGAAGTGTGACAACATAAAATAAAAGCTTATGCAGCGTTTATAATGAGTTATATCGATATTTCGGAAAAATAATCAATTGTATTCCGCGTCGATACTATTCGTACGCGCGGGGATTCCCTGCTTTAGCGCCTCCCTTCCCCCCGAACAAGATACCGTGACTCATACATGTCTCTTTTAGCGAGAACGGCTGCGGACGAGAAAAGATTCTACCAGACGTAAAATCCAAAATTTTCTACGTCCGTGCGGCCGGTGCGGAGGGTTGGATAATTTTGTGCTAGCGGCATTATGCACGAAGGGGTAATACCTTATTCGACCATTGTACCCCCTGCGAACATCTGGCTGTCCGGGTTAGTGATGGATGGGACAAGCTACCGAACCTGATTCCCGCGGCTGGACCGATCTCACGTACACTCGAAAAATGCTCCCTAGTGCGCACACGTGTTCTATAAAGTTAATTTATAAAATCAGACCAACAAGATCCAAAATAAATTCGTCGAGCAGTTCACCTATCGCAATGAGACGAATAATGTTATGGACGCAATAGAGAGCGTTTGAGGTGCATGTTGGAACCGATAGCTTCGGAAAATGCGTCTCGAGAATCGTTTAATAACACGCTAATATACAATCATACGTAACATAGCGTGAAAAAAAAAATTTATATATATAATTATGATGCGTGTATATAATGATATAATCGGCCGTTAGGATTTTGGAAACGTTCGGGAGACACACCTCTCTCGTGATTTTTTTCCTCTCGATTAATACCCAGCGCGAGAATCATAGAGTATCTCATTGTATATTCGGAGCAATTATCCCAGGCACGTCGTTATAAGATCTAAATAGTCATCATCCAGGCGGTTCGTCATATGTGTGACGATCTCCCTCCACTTTCGACACCCATTACGAGCGTGGCATTAGATCGTACGTTAGACACGCGATTGGCTCCCGTCGGACGCGAAGAGGTTGGGCCAGGTGGGCCATCAGGGGGCACATGATGCGATTGGCAGCACGAATAGTCGTCGAGGAAGGGGACAAATGAGCTGCTAGTCAGCGAATCTACCGCAGCTTCACTATCAACGAATTAATATGTCTTATACTTATTGACCTTCCTTTCGAGCTTACGCCGCGAGAGCGTACGATTAGTCGACTGATAAATTAACTGACTACTGACCAATATTGGTGAATGAGCCAAGAATCATATTGCGACGTGATGTAAAAAGAAAACTATATGATGATTGAATATATGTCTGACTGCGATTTCTTCTATTCAACAACAAGAAGGAAACCGTGTGCTTCCAATTTAATTTTGTATATCATTCTGCATATTAATTTAATAATTATTACGTAGTCATAATTATTACGTACTTTCATATGCGTATAATTATATTAATGATTATACGATTATTGTGTGAAATAAAAATACATATTATAGTATATACAGTATATAAAACAATAATATTCATGTACATAGCTCTAAGAGAGGGAGATTTTTAAATTGTCCTGAATTCGAATAAAGGATTAAAGTAACCGATGTATATTTTTTCCGCGTCATGAAAATAATGGGAGAGATTATTTTATAATTGTAAAATTTCTTACGCACGTTTCGCTCGAATTGGTCGGACAATTTTGAGCGTGAAACAGCGAGAGAAGAGAACGCGAAATATTTAAAGGCGATTGGGCGGAATATATGTATGCGCCGATCGCACGCGATTTTCCCGAGCCTGAAGGGCGCAAAATGCGTACGCCGTTCCTCCTCTCTCCGCGTAAGCAGAGCGCAGGACGTACGCAATACAGGACGTAGGACATAGGTCCTCGCAGGTGGGGAGTAGTCTCCTCGGAGCGCAGCATCTTTCCCTCGCAGCAGCAGCCGCGGCAGCAACAGCAGCGAAGCGACCGAACTGGTCCTGAAACACGGCGCGCGCGGGCCTCGAAGAGCCGTGGCGTGGTGGACCCCGTTTCTGGGCCCGCTGTCTGCAGCCCTCAGTCGTTCGCTGATGCTTGGACGAGCGAGAGTGTCGAGTTATCTTAGGGATCGTTGCGAGAACAAGAAAAACGCCGGTTTTCTTTCTTCCTCTCTCTTTCTCTCGTCAGTTTCTTCATGAAGAAGAGATTAATATGTGTTGAGACGACATTACTTGTGAAATTATTTACTCGTGGCTGTGAGTCGAGTGATAACAATCGTTCTCGGGGATCATCGACAGCGGATACCGCTGTCATGTAGCAACGGCTGCAGCATAAAAAAGAGAGAGAGAGGGAGAAAGCTTCTACAGGTGATGTGACGCGACGAAATCCTTGCTTCTTAGTTCCGTAATGACAGTTTTCGATCTTGGTACTCCCCACCGATCGAAAGACACCTCGGTCAAAGACTGTCATTTTGAATAATCGACCGACGTCCTGAGAAATCTCCATAGTGACGTATGGAAAGTACAGTGAGTTTTAATCAATAAGTTTGATGCTTTTTCCATGTATTGAATTATCGACGCTGAAGACAAGTAAAAGATCAAAGGACTCTCAATCAAGAGGTGGATAAAATCCGAACTACCACACTAATTCTTCACAGAAGAAGCGACGCACGACTAGTGCGTGACGAAAAGCTTTACGCAAATAATTTCACGAGCCGGATATATATTGAAAAGAAAGAATGAAGATAACACACTGGAAATTGAGCTTTTACGTGTAGAGAACACGATCGGCCGGACTTGAACTCGCCGCGCAAGGCGTGGTTCGGGCAAGTTTGTTGTCGGATGAGGTCACGCGATAACGATCAGTTGAGAAATATCGCGCGAAGTTTTCAGAAGAGTGCCACGAGACGCTATCGTCGATGATGTACGTTTGGATTCCAATGTGCGTGCGGGGTTACTACTCGACGAATGATCGAGGAAGTGGGAGTCGCGGCTGTGATGACCGCGCGCCGCGCTGGGCTATGCCGCGCGCGCGCACTGGTCGGAATCGATCGAGCGGAAAGACAAAAAATCATTCCGGCAAACGAGGATCCCGGAGGCCTCGTCGTTACAAGGATCAAGGATCAATGATCTCCGTGCGATGATTTTTCGAATTCTCGGAGGAGAGATACAGTTAGGCGTTCGAGCGATTTTCCATATCCCTCCGCGGAGAGATATGTCGCGCGAAATATTTCCTGGAAAGGAATTCACGTAAAATAAATGAAAATTTTGCGAAAGATAGCGCGAGAACTTGGAATGCATTCATACGAGTGAATGTTTCAGTCGATTACAGAGCGAATTTCTTTCTGTCACTACATTGGACTTCACTCTGTATGAGAGAAAAATTACTCGAATTTGCTTGCCTATCTACTTTTTCAGTAGAATTTTGCTCGACATGCTAAGAAAGTTTCGGGAGGAAATAACGGAAAAGCATGGTAGGAGGAGGGAAAAAAGACAGGCAAGGATCTGTGAGCTTTCTGCGAGCCAAGAAACGTGAGAGAAAGGCCGCTTCGTTTCGTCTGATCGATAAACAAATCTTTCTTCGAAACTGTAAGAACGTGCATGTTCGTCGAATTTCTAAACGCATGTTGAAACGACTTTTACTCACGGCTTGTCAAAACGGAAATATCCATACCACTTTGTAACACCATTGGAAGGAGCGTATTTTTAAATAAATTTATCGGTATTAAAGAATTCTGAGAAAGGAAGAGGAAGGTTGAAGAAAGGTAAGATAGTGCGATGCTAAGATGCGAGAATTTCGACATGTGAGTGACAAGTGAAAGAAGAAGACTCTTTAGCCGCATCAATATGTTCGCGCTAGGGCGTCGTTAGACCTCTAGTTAGAAGGGCACGCGAACGTCACCGCCTTCGCGCCACCGAGATTCCTTCGGAGACTTCGACGCATGCATAGAGAAACATCGGTAAGTCAACATTTTTGCACTATAATGCTTCTCGGTCGAGCCGGTTCTCGAGAACGCGGATCCGATTTCGGATCTTTGAAAATTCACTTACTAAAAACGTAATCTTATTCACTTCCTTCAGGAGAAATACTTTTGGCGCGAAAGAAGATTAAACGAGGAGATTCGCGATACGAATGCAATATCATATGTAGAGTGATTTAGAGAATTTCTACATATTAATGTAGAAATAATAATTTAACTGCTTCCTAAATTTCTTTGAAGTGAAATCTCACTGGAAACGTATGAAACGTATGAAAATGTATTCGAATAATAGCAATAATGTTGAAAATACTCAAAATCACAAGAATATGAATATGTTTCATTCGAAGCAAATGTAAAGTGAATCCGTAAACATTTCAATCCATTGCAGCGAATTTGTGGAACCACAATAGTGGAATATGTTCATCTTGTGTAATTAAGAAGTTATTCGTGGAACTCGACTTGCCGATTTCCGAGTGGAATTTCATTCGAAGAAATTTAGAGAGGACACAGGCCAAATAAAAATAGCAAGAATTAAATAAAGGTAGAACGTTGCGCACACCCGAGCGAGTTATCTTTTTTCTTGTGTTCTCTCGCCGGTTTAAAATTGTTCTTTTTCTTTCACGGCCAAAAACTGGCAGGAGGGGGCACGTAATCTTTTTCGCAAACGTTTTTGACGCATCGCATGCGCGAGAATCGAAACGCAAGCAAGTCGATTACGAAAATAAACGTTGACTTTATTCCAAAATGCGGATTTCTCTTTGGTGGCGGTCACAATTGCGCGCGCTCTTAATCCCGTCGCGACGATCGAGTTAACTGCAGCGATAATTCGTTAGTACAACTTTGTTGCTCCGAAGATCGGATTTCACTAAAAATTTCCTCGCACGCGTTCTCTCGCGCGGCCGCAGCGCGAGATGCGAATCAACCGACGCTCGTTTGGATTCCGATGTCAACGAGTTCGACATTGTGATAAAGCCCGTTTCGAACGATCGATCCCCCAAAAATTTGCGCGAGAGAGAATTTGAATTTCGCGTTAGATACTATCTTGAAATTTTCTTAAAATCTCACTCGAAACGAGCTTCTATTCGAAATGGAAATATCGCCACTCACAAGAGTTTCATTCGAACTTGGAATACACTCTCAATGCGTGTAAAAATGTGAATGTTTCAATAGATTAAAGTGATGTGAATTTGTCTCGATTGTACGGAGAACTGAACGCATTTGGTATGAATGAAAAATCACTCGAATTTGAGAATGACTCTACTTTTCAAATAGAATTTCACTCGATGACATTTTAAGAGACACTCGTTTATTATCATGTATATGTCGTCCATCTCACACAACAATCAGTTGTCTAAAAAGTTGGAAAAAATTTGGCGAACCTAATGCAGGTAGCCCTGCTTGAAAATCGAGCGGTCGCTCACGTCGTTGTTCCGGACATGTAGCCTCGTGTGTTCCCGCGAAGTCTCCTCGTTGGGCCTCCGTGGTCGCGGGGCCTCGCGGGGCCCCGCACGGGCCCTCACGAGCTAGGCTACTCCAATCGTAGACGCGCGATTGCAGGAG